AAGAACCGAATAGATGGACGCTTAATGACTCGAATGCATTCCATTACACCTGATTAGTCAAGCAGGTCCGAGCTTTTATGACTCCAAAAGCAGAATATCACACAAACGCCCAACAAAACGAGCCCTGAAAACAGCCTGAAGAGGGGAGAGCTCAAAAGTAGATCAAAACCAGAAGAAAGGATGCCTACAAAAATACAAAACATGCTGGTTTCTACATTGAAAAAAATAGGTGCAGGATTTACTTTGAAACTATTTTCACTCTATATTTATTTATTTAGTTATTTTATTTATAATTTTACGCTATATTGGCATCAAAGGGTATATTCATGGCAAACTCAATAGTAATAAGATTTAAATAACAACACTTAAATGTATTTTATACAATAATTTAACAATTACAAAAATAATAATATAAAATAATAATAATAAACAAATAAAAATAATTAAATAAAAATTACATGTAATCTTTCAATTTGATATTTACTAAAAAACAAATCCAGGAGAAAATTTCTTAAAAATGTCCATTAATGTACTTTCTGTGTAAAAAGAAAAAGAAAGAAAAAAATTTCACTCAGAAATTGATAGTAAATTTCACAAATAATTGTGAATGGCAAGAAGCACATTGAATAAAAGAAGCAAAAAGACTGAAATAATATTTTCGTATAAGACGATCTCCAATAATGTTTTATTTGCAACTATACAAAAAGCAGTAATATCTTATAGTGTAGATGCAAAAGATACCTGACATGAATCTGAAGCAGCATCGTAGGTGTCCTTCACGGATTGAACGAATGCACTGTAACGAACTCTGTAAAACATGGCGGACAAAGTGAGAGAAATGTCAATTAAAATATGTCATTCAATACTAAAAGATCAATAAAAATAGTTCAACTGAATTATAAATACATTTGTGTGTGCTGTGTATTTTTATGAGTATTAGATCAATTCGAATATATAAACAGATGACCACTTTACCGCAGCACAAAATATAAAATACAATATAAAACACATACGGTATATACTTATAATTACAAACATATATATAAATTTAAATGTAAATATATATATATATTTTTTTTTTAATGACAGTCAACAACATCATTTGCTCCAACCAAGCACAGCATCTTGTGTTTTTGTTGTTAATCAATAAGCTAACAAAGGACTCTACTGGAGTCGATTGAGAGTCAATTGGCTTGCGTGCGTCACGTAAGGAGTTATTTATATGATGCACACAGTTGCTGCCCACAGTATGCGCAGCATCCCTAATCTGCGGTTTTAATTAGGATGCACTGGAAGGCAGCTGACTATATAGACAGCAAGGCTTTGGAACAAAGCCACTGTGTACACATAACTGTGCTTGTCTGAATGCACTGGAGTGCAGATCGCCTGTAGCGGACAGTGATGTGTCGTGTTGCGGTTATTGACTCCTCCGCGCAGACACAGCGGGCTCCGTCTGTATTGTTGCTGTTCGCCAGATTGCTGGACATGAGCGTTTTTATAGGGATTAGTTTGGCTTAGTGCCGTGGCTAACGCCATGATTAGGGCTTTCTGGCACTGGAGATAAGTGAATTCTCTCTGGTTATTCAGGGGAAAAGCAGCAAATAAGGCAGCGTTTTAATGGAGAAAAACAGAGTGAACTGTCGCTCCATAAGACTGATAACCTCTTCCCTCTAATCACCATTACCGGACTCGTATCTATTCACATTCACAGAGAGAGAGAGAGAGACACAGACAAGCATTAGGTTAATTTTGCCCCCAGGCGCTCATATGGGAACCGTGCCTTTGCTCTAATCCTGATTTTTAATACAAAGAGGAAAGGCACAACTGAGCCAGAAGCGGAAGATTAAACTGACAGTCCCAATTTGTCGTTTTGCCTTATATCTTCAGTCTAAAGGATCAAACAGCTGTAAGGTTACCGAACCAGCTCTGAATTCATACAACCTGTTGTGTGCAGTCACCCATGATTCACAAATGTCAGTGGGTACTATTTTTAGGACCATTACGATTTCTTGCCCTCTGACATTATTTTCACAGCAACTGAAAAAGACATTTTTTGCAAGGTTTTTGCAGGTTTTATGAAAGTACATTTACGACGTACCTAGAAATACTTTTACTTTATCGATTTTTACAAAGCTCATCGGTCTGAATTGCTCTGATTGGCCAGCTATCCAGTGCGTTGTGATTGGCCGAATACCTCAAGCGTGTGATAGAAATGTTGCTCTCCTACCAAACAGTGATGCCGTGTCTCGGTGCGATGAGACAAAACCAATAAAACCCATTAGAAACGAGGCATTTGTTGTATCCAGTGGGGACATAATTATGGATTATAATGACTTATACTGTGTTTGTACGCATTGCATCGCGCCGCGTAAACATAAAACCATGTCTGCATTTGTGATCGGAGAAATGACAAACAACAAGCGCTACTCTACACTGCTCAAAACTCATGTTTGAATCATCAGTGGCAAATCCTTTAAATATGAAAACATACTTACAGTCTGTGAGTCAGAACAGCCG